AGATTTAATAGTCTCTTTTCCTGTTAAATTAAGTGGGACAGAATAGACAAGTGACTCTGTAACTAGAAGCACCATTTGGCATTTGGAAAGGAGAAATATTAGAAAGAAGAGGCTGTAGCCTTTCTGACCACGTTCAAGAGCCATTAAGTAAATAAAAGGTTTTTTTTAAAAAAATAAAAAAATGCTTCATATTTCAGAAGGAAAATTCAAGGGGAGTTTTGTTCCTTGAAGCCTATAGGAGGTTACAAGGCAATAAAAGTACCTCCCTTCAAGTCACTATCTTAACAATCGTTAAAAATAAAATACTGCTACAGTGCCACCTTACAAGAGCTTTACACTCCACAGAACCCTCTTATGAATAGAGAAAGAGAGGAGGGGCATCTTCTGGCTAATTATAAAATACCACTTCTGATAAATTATGGATGGCTTAATTAAGATATTAAAAAAGAAAGGCAAAAACATTGAATGGAAATGTTTTCTGAGAAAAAATATAACTAAATTTAACTACTCAATGATGTAGTTAAATTTTTTAAAACATACATTTTTACTAGGCATAGAGTAACTTTGAATCAAGATAAAGGTTCATACAGGTTGTACACTTAAGGGTTATTTAAGTTAGTGATTAAATGACTGCAATACGGTGTTTTGAGTAAATTGAGGTGACAAGATTTTTTTCTTTTTACTAATTAGATTCCTAGTTGTGGAGGCTACAAAAAAACTGACACGGTAGTTAACAATTAGCTTAATTTTCTATCTCTATTGTTTGCAATACTGTAATGTGATGAAGTGCCACGCCTAACCACCCAGATGGTAATATCCAGTGTCCTTCTAAGTAGTCATTGAAAAGAAAATGCACACCCGTGACACACCGCAATGCCACAGTGAACGTTAGTATTCTGGAAGTCAGAGATTTCATGTGCCAGTCTGTGTTTTAGCTTCATCAGAGAAGACATAAGCACAGGGCACTGTGGTTTAATCTTTGTGAAGATTGGAGTGTTTTACTCAACACTGCCTTTAATCCATGATGATCAACCAAAACAAGGATTATGTTTAAAGGTCTAAAGATCCAACATCTCCACGTTATGAAAAAGATTGATTAGCATATAAAAGGAATAAAGACTGGAAAATTCGGTTGAATCCCAATAATAAATAATATAAATGAAAATAACTTGTAATTTACATTCTTTTCGTAGAAGCTGGCTATTTTAATTTTTACTTCTAAAGATAGAGAAAAATGAACATTCCCATATTTTTATGGCTAAAGTATGATTTGCTATGGAATGTGTGTGCAATTGAAAAATAATACAGTTCAGTTGTAAAAAATATTACTTTGCCAGTTGAAGAGATTTTGCTGCCTAAGCTATGAGGTTTTTTTAAAACTACTAAACAATGATGTAGAGTTTCAAAAGAATATTCTAAGCTTGAAATCTAGTTCCTTTTGGAACTAGAAGACAAACATATAAGCAATAATATTTATTACGTAAAAAATTAAGGTGTATAAAAAATGGCATTGATGCAAACATCAGTGAGCAGCCCTGGTACCGGTGTATCTAATGTACACATCTCCACCCCTGTGCATTTCCTCCTCTGCTCCCTTTTATGCTCCAATCTCCAGCTGAGATTGTAACAAAGGAATATTCCTGATTGATGCTAAAATCATTCTTGGCAAAATAAAAATATTTTTATGCTGTTAGCATACTTTCATATTTTGAGATACTGACAAAAACTTCAGAAAGTTCTCTCTCTCCTCTCCCTAATCTTGTTCAAAGCAAAACATTAAAATTTCTACCAATAAAGGGATGTCCATCCTTTATGGTTCCCTAAATAATGGAAAGTGACAATTTGGCTGTGTTAGATCTATGATTGCAATGTATTTTTAAAACAAGAGCATGCATACAGAGAAGTGTAAACCTATATTCATGCACATCATAGTTATTTTACTTCTTATAAGACTATGAAACTGTGCTTGTTAAACATTTAGCCATGTTTTCTTACCTTTCACAGACACCGACGCTATAATTTCAGCAGAGCCAAAGACATTTTCCCCTTGGCAAACGTACTTTCCCTCATCTGATTTAGAAGCATTTAGGATCCGTAGACTTCCGTCTGGAAGAATAGCTATTCTGAAAATTATTAAAAAAGGGTTTTTTTCCTGTTTTACTGCAAATCAGCTAAGTGGTATGAAACTCGGATGAAGTCTGAGACCACTTCTATGCTAATAAGATAAAGGATCATTGTGAACATAGGCAATGATAGTAGAAACATTTTCCCCTTCCAGAAATTATGCAATAAACTCACTTAATTTCCTTTTATGTTCAAAAGGGTTAGGGAGTTACAGGTTATTTTTCTTTTGGCAGTTTTTGACAGTTAATTTTAAAACTTGTGGAAAAGGTGACCCTGAATTTGGTTGTGAAAACGTGTTACTATAACATCATCTAGAAATATTTTAATATTAAGCTGGGTATTTCACCTCCAACCAAGAGTGACCTCAAAAGTCAAATATAAAAAGAAACAGCATAAAAACATAGAGGAGGACAAGTACAGAACATATAATTAATTGTATACAGCCAAAAAATGATTTATGGTGGTTTCTCTACATTGCCACAGGTGCAGTGAGGGTGGAAAATGTGACCTGCTACATGGGCTGCTCATGCTGCACTTTTGAAATCCGAGACTGTGATACCTGAGTTTGCATGGGGGTTCTTTCAAGACCTTTGTGAAAAGTGAACCTTCCGTTTTATATGAAGGTGAAAAATTAAAGCATTATTAAAAAATTTTAGAAGTTCAGTGAAAATGAGGTTGACATTTGGAATTACCATATTCTCCTGTGTATTCATCATTCCAGGAATATATGGATTTCAAATTTAATTAGTACTTTTGTCCTTTTCTCCCTCTGTGCTCCGGAAATAAACCCCACTATTTCTCCAGTGCATCAACCTACCTAAGCAACCTGAACACAGGAGAAATGCCCTTGTGCTTTTATTTTATATGCAGCTGGAGTTTGGACTGTCTTCTTTTAGGGAAGAGAAAGTAAAAGGCTATGCTGGCTGGGTAATAACCAGTGACCCCATTCAGTGTAAGATTCTAAATCTGAATCCTCTGATTCCTTAGAAGAATAGCATATTCCATGGCAATACAATAACTTTAAACTATTTAAGATTCCAGAATAATGGTGAAATCTGTTAAATCATTATTCTTTTTGTTGTTTTAAAATGTATATTCAGTCTTGCCAATTACCCAGAGCCGATGGTTCTTCAGAGCCTGGAACTTCGTAACAATTGATATGAGATTATAGGCTGCTGAAAACGGCGTATGAATTTATACTTACATATTGCCATTGATAAAGATACCAGTTTAAAAACATCATCTGGTCCTCAATATGGATCAGACTTGATTTACAATGTGTGACAAGGAAGACACATTTAGAAACAGGCCAAACTAGGAATAGAGAATTTGATTCTGTCATTTATGTTTAGGAGAAATACTAGCTTGAGACATTAGGAAAAAACAGTTCCCTTAAAAATAATATGCTGTGTGGGCCAGCCAGATGGTGTGGTTAAAGCAGTTGGGTCGCACATGGCTGAGTGCACTGTATGAGTCCTGAACCTGGCGGCTTGGAAAATATGCCTGGTGTGTGTACGTGTTCATAATCCCTGGAGGAGAATGGAGAAGTGTTTACAGTGTGGTCATTATCCTGTTGACTGATTTCTCACTTTCCCTCTACCTCTCTCTATTTCTCTCTCGGAAAAGATCACATGCTCCATAAAAGAAAAAGAAAAAAAAAAAGATATACTGTAGAATTAGTTCGTTAGTTCTACAGTGTAGTGGTTAAGGGAGTCAGACCTCACATGGCTGACTAAGTCTGAATCCTGAGTCTGGGCCCCAGGAGCCTCAAAAACACGCTTGGTATGGGTCCAGCAGGTGGTATGGTGGTTAAGGTGCTGGACTCCTACATGGTCAACCACAGTTCAAGTCCATACTTGGCAGCTTGAAAATCACACTAGGTGCATGTGCATGCATTCCCAAAATCCTAAAAGGAGAATAGAGAAGAAGGGATTGTTGTATGATCATCCTTCCTGGGGGATGGTTTCTCACTTTCTCTTTCATTCTCTCCAGTGAGTACGTGTGCCCTATGGCAACAACCTAAGAACAAAACAAACAAACAAACAAACAAAACCATGCTGGGCACACATGCATGCATGCCCCAAATCTCAACAGAATGGAGAACTGAAAGAAAAGGTTTTGCAGTATAGCACACCTCCCCACAGTCTCTCTCTGGCAAGCACACATGCTCTTTGGCAGTTAAAAAAAAGTTATATACTGTAAATCATTCAAGATGGTCAATGAAAAATTATGTTCATTATTTAAATAATAGTCTATTTCTATAAAAATGTATTATATTTATTTCATTTCAATTCCGAAGATACAGATGTGACAAAAGATACATCTGAGGGACCAGCAGTTGGTGGAATGGGTACATCACTGGACTCCCATGTGGTCAAATGTGGTTCGAGTCCTGGACCCAGTGACTTAAACTCACACCGGGCGCATGTGTGTGCATGCCCAGGCCCGAAAAGAGAATGGAAGAGAATGGACTACAGTGTGGCCATCCCCCTGGGGGGTGATTCCTCACTTTCTGTCTCTGTCTTTCTGGTAAGCGCATGCGTCCTATAGCAAAAACCTCTCCAAAGAAAAAAAGATACATCCGAAAGCAAACATTACATTCTTTGTAAACAAATAAGCATCCTTTTGTAAGAAGCAGAGACTATTAAAATGTATCTTTATCATTATAATTTGTGCAGATAGTTAACATTTTCAAAATATCCAGATTTTACTGACCAGAGTAATTTCTAATATAACAGGTGAGAAGTTTTGCTTAAAAGTTTACCTCGCATGGGTCAGCCCACAGCCTGTTGGTTAAGGCAGCTGGATCTCACGTTGGCTGACTGTATGGTATGAGTCCCAGACTCAGTGACTTAAGAAAAAGGAGGGAGAATCAGGGGAGAGGGAATTGGGGAAAGACCATACCCCATAGGGGTTGCTTTCTCCTCTTCTTTCTCACTCTCTCTTTCTTTCTGTTTCTTTCTGGTGAATGGACATGCCTTTGGCAAAACAAATCCCACCTCTATCAGACATAGCTGTGGTGTAAGCAGAAGGGTACCTCAGTGTAGTGTTTGAGGCCATGGGAAGCCTGGATTCAGTTCCCAGCCCTACCTAAACAAGCTGGGCACAGTGGGATGACCCTGTGGTCCTATGTATCTGGGAGTTTGGTTTCAGGGAGACGGCAACACGGTGAGACCCTGAAAAAATATCTCATCTCTCTCTCCCTCCCCTCATGCCTCCCTCTTTCTGTCCTTCATTCTGTCTCTCTCTCTCTCTCTCTCACACACACACACACACACACACACACTCTCACTCTCTCTCTCTTGCCTCCTTTAAAGACATAAACGTATTGTAGACACTGTGAGTATTTTAGCTATTGATTTAAGATGAGTGCTTTCTCACTGATTGGAGGCAGCATATTATATTCTACTTTTAAATATAATTTATGAACACCTCTGTATTTAGGCCACTGATCCACTTGGGAAATGAAGAATTTTTGAATGCCACAATATTTTTTATCTGCCAATTATCAGTGTCATTTAACCAAAATCCTGTCTACTGATTCAAATAGAAAATTCTTATCAGATCAGTTCAACTGTTTTTTAAACTTAGAAAAGAAAAAAGTAAATAAGATAACAGATAGGATTTACATTATAATGGTCTGATTATTACATATAAAATTACCTAGATAATTGAATACAGAATTATTTCCGTACACCGTTCAGGCTCTTCATGTATCTTTTCCCCACTGCTATTACCATGTGACTCTTACATTCTGGAACTTTTAGATTTGGGAATTAATTCGACTGAGATACCCATGTATTTCTAGGAGGGTAGTAAGGGAATGATAAGGTGAAGGTTTTAAGGGGTAGAGAGAAATTTTAGAAATGGAAATCAGCATTCTGGAATTCAGGCTTAAGTGAAGTTTGCTTCATTCTGCTCTCAAGAAAGACTCCCGAGATTCTGCCTACATCTGGAGGTGTCTTGGTTCCCACCTTGAACCTAAGTACTGGATCTCTGCTTTGTTCATCGATCTAGTAACCCAGTCCATCTAGGAATCATTGCAGACTTTTTGCTGTCTATTGTGATTTCCAATGTTCAGAGCTATTTTCTGGACCTTCTATTTCCTCATTTGGCCTGTCTGTCAGACACAATCTAGTTTAGGCCTTTTCAAGTAGACTACTGGCTGGGGAGAACTATCTGTTTACTTGCTGTCATATCATTAAGGGGTGATGCCTTGACTTCCAGATTTGATTTCTCTCTGATATCATATCAGAGTGACTATCATCTCATAGACTCACTAATCATTGAGACAACATGCTTTAAAATCAGAGAAGATTGTGTTCAACTCACTGCCATTGGCATGATCTTAAGCAAAGTTGCTTAGTCTGTTTCCTTATAATAATGTCTGATTGGTTCTTTAAAAGTAGTAACTAGGGAGTCCACACAAGATTATTGTACTTTAATGGTGTGATAAACATTAATTGAAAATATACTCAAAAATCAAATGTTTATTAATGTTAAGAAAAACTCTGAGAATGTCAGGGATTATTTAATGATTATTTAACTGTTTAGAGCATTAGATATATCTCTTTTTAGGAGTAACCATTGAGCTGAGAACAGAAGGATAAAGGAATTGATGAGGCAGGTATGAGAAAACAGAGAGAACAGTATTAGCAAAGGCTAGGTAGGAAGAATTATGAAACCTTGAAGAACCCAGTGGCCAATCACAGTAACAGCATATAAAGTGAAAGGAGGGAGCAGGAAATGGAACCCACTCAGACTGGTGAGGTAGGAAGAGGCAAGATCAGGTACACTATGAAAATGATCTGGATTGTATTTTAAGGGCAGTAGGGAGTTACTAATTTTTAACAGCTTTATTAAGATATGTTATACATATAATAAGCTCAAAAGTTTTCATATTGGGTCATAGTCATAGAACCATCACCATAATCAAGTTCTCCCCTGAAAATATGTCTGTGTTCTTTGGTGTTCTTTGGCATTTTTCTCTCTCTCAAGC